GGACAGCCCTAGCACAAATAATGATAAATGGAACCTAATGCCAATGGTGGCACAAAAATAGAAAAGAGGATGAGGGTGCCCTTGAGTAGAGAACTTCCTAGGAGGGGAAGTGGAGTTGCACAAAATGTGCAAGGCAAGGTGTCAGAGATACCTAGGAAATTGACTCCAAGAAGTCAAAAGTAAACATTCCAAAGTGCAAAGGTAGATCAATGGAATCTGTGACTACTCAAGAATGAGTAGTGGAATTGAGTTAGAGAGGGTGCCTCTAACGGGTTTAGCGAGAACTAAACCAATAAATGGAAAAAACCACCTCAAGTGGTCCAATCAGTTTCTAAGTTGGAGAGACTATCCTCCTTAGAGGATGGACAAGGCATGGTGAGCCTTCGGGGTCAAACCATAGACAAATATTGGCCGGGTGCCAAGGATGGGAATGGTAATACCTGCGGGTGTTACTTTATAAAAGGGTTTACCGTTCGATGAGGACATCGAACTTCGTCTATGGGTGGTGGAGTTGTTGTGAGACACAAAATCCCTAGGCCCCAAAGTGGAGCTGGAAAGGGTGCCACGTGATAGTGGCCGAAGCGAAAACCAAACGAGCGTAACACGTTTGGAATAAAAGCTCCGACTTGGAAGGTCAAGAGCAGGAGTGGAACTCCCAACAAAGTCCTCAAGGAGCGAGCACGAAGCGAGCAATAAGCAAGGCTCCAAAAAAGGGACCCAAAAAGGACCAACACATGACACGTGGAAGTGTCTAAGATGGAGTCCAAGACGGACCCTAGTTGGAGTCCAAGATGGACCCGAAGTAGAGTCCGATATGGAGTCCGAAGTGGAGTCCGATATGGAGTCCGAGATGGACCCGAAGTGGAGTCTGATATGGAGTCCGAAGTGGAGTCCGAGATGGAGTCCGATATGGAGTCCGAGATGGACCCGAAGTGGAGTCCGATATAGAGTCTGAAGTGGAGTCCGAGATGGAGTCCAATATGGAGTCCGAGATGGACCCGAAGTGGAGTCCGATATGGAGTCTGAAGTGGAGTCCGAGATGGAGTCCAATATGGAGTCCAAGGTGGGCCGAAGTGGAGTCCGAGGTGGACCAAGACGGAGTCCGAGATGGACCCGAGATGGAGCCCGAGATGCAGCCCGAGATGGACCAAGACGGAGCCCGAGATGGAGTCTGAGATGGAGTCCGAGGTTGAGACCGAGATCGGGACCGAGACCGAGACCGAGACCGAGACCGGGACCGAGACCGGGACTGAGACCAGGACCGAGGCCAAGGCTGAGACCGAGCCCAAGTCCGAGTCTGAGTCCGAGTTCGAGTCCGAGTCCGAGTCCGAGTCCGAGTCCGAGTTCGAGTCTGAGAGGGTGAAAGCCCAAAGCGTTCGTCTCCCAGACCCTGGGGGGTTTGGTGAGCTCCAAAAGTATAGTGAGGGGGAGGACTGCAGTGGAGCCAGTTTGGCCAGGAAAGGCCAATTTGGCCCAGGAAGGCCAGACCCAGTGTTGGGTGATGAACTGACCACTAGGAAGTCCAAGACTAGAGTGAATACGGACCGACAAGTGGGGTAGCTTGGTGAAGTGTTCAAGAGCTGGCTCTAGTTCCCCCGGGAGATCGACTGGCCGATGCTCCCAGTCCAAGTGTGGGTGGCACTACCTACTTGGATACCAGGTGTGGCTCAACGGAACCTCGCTCTAAGCCCATGGCTAGAGCACCTAAAGGCGAAAGGCAGGGAGAGTACCCAGGTGGCTCGCGTAAGGCCACGGTGTTCCGAAATGTTGTCCCAAAGGGCTAGACTGTGGAAAGGAAGAGGAGCAGTCCTTTGGGGTAGTGACCAAGGACACAATCGTGTGGTGAGGAAGTCCCAGAGGACCATGGGACTTAGGGGTTGGGCCTGTGGGCCTCGATCCAGTGGCAGTGTTGGCAAACACGGCCAGGGGTAGAAAGGGACTTGCTAGGAACTGACAAAGGGACTTTGGGGAAGGCAATTCCCCAGATCTGTGGGCATCCTAAGGATGCTAAGGAGTGGATCTAGGATGACCACTCGTGGACAGATGGCCCAGTCTTGGAGAGATGGGATTGTGATGCAAGTGGTAGTGGACCACTAGTGCAGCAAAGGTGAATGGGCATGGCCTTAGCGTAACGGGCCGAGATGTCAGTGGTACCTTTGGGTGTCGGTCTTGGGACCGGACACAAGGAGCACTTAGACCAGGTGCAAGTGTTGAGTGGCATAGATGCCATTCTTGGGGCTAGCAAGTCCCAAGTCCTGAATTGGACTTATGGAGGTTGTGAATGAGACTCCTCCAAGTGGTCGGAGGTGTGGTTAAGTGACTAAAGTAGAATGGAAAAATTAGTCCCGAAAAATTAGTCCCACAGAAATGTATACGATGCCAACAAGAAAAAGTAAAGTAGTTAAATTTATTAGTACGATCTCCAAGCACAAACAGGGTAAAATAAGTTTTTCTTAAACACTTGAGTGTGAAATTCTCTCCATGAAATATATTATTGCACTTGCAAAGGAATATATAGTCAAAATAAAAGGTGGAGAATATATAATTGCCATTTAAGACATTCTTTCTTACACATATATAAACTTTATGAAGTGTGATAAACATAGGAAGGCATATACTCTTTACTACATTTTTATCAACACTTTACACTAGGATACTAAAGTGGATATTCATATACACCAAGCAAAAGTTACTATTTCTAAATTATAGAAAACTTTCAAAGTTAATTAGATTTATCAAGACTATTGATGTTTATTCTCCATCAATAATATAAATTTAATAAATTTTATATAATTGACTAAAACATATTTTTTCATTTCACTTTTCATTTCATATACTTAAAAATATTCTTTTTGCAATATTACCCATAGTATTTGTGGGTTTTCATTTTTGTCTTAACCATCTTAAAAAAATATTTTATGGTATTTTTTGGGTGTGTGATATTGCAATGTGTCACAAGAGCATATATACCATCATATTGATTATCATCAATATTTCCATCAGCAACCAAAAAATATATGAGATATTTTTTGAAAGTCATAAAATTATAGTTTTCTAAAATAAATAAAAATGCATTATTTTTCACCTAATTTGCTACACCCTTTATCATTGTGTTTATTTCCAACTCATGATTACTATCCTCGTTATCCTCTTTTTCTTTTTCTTATATGGTTTGATTATGTTGTGCAATAGGATAGCTATTATAGCTTTTAACCCTTGAGAAAAAAGATTGTAAGAGTTAAAATCACAAACACTAAAACCCACAAATATTTATGTGTATTTCCCTCTCTATTCTAGAAAAGAACTGAATCTCTTTTTGGTTTGCTTAAGCAAACCTATAGGGGGACTGGGATGGTAGTGAATATATCTAGAATATGCTTGGATATTCTGGGATATTCTGGGATATTCTACCATCTAACGGTTGGTATTCATTTAGATTAATCTGGTATTTATAATTTATAAACATATTTATAATTTATAAACTTTCCTAAACCCTTTTTAGTATATTCTTTTTTATTCTATTATCTAATGGAATAAGATTAATCTTGTGTTTATAAATTAGCAACATGCTTATAATTATAAACTTTATTTGATCAATTAGATTAATAAGTAATAATAAAACTACCATTAAGCAAACCAAGTGTTGCTACATACAACGCATAGCAATTTATTTATCTTACATTAATGGTTGTTTTTTTCCTTTTAAATAGTTTAGAATCTTATTTTAAATTAATAATTTTAAAATTCTGATAAACTTGATATTTACTAGCTAGAAAATACAAAGTACAGATTTAAAAAGTGATAAAAATACTTTTTCTATAAACATCATATTTCATAATATCTCTATTATGGTGTGTAGTAAATATTTAAATTGTTAAAACAGGAAGTGTTCTTTAAAACATTTTTATCTATATAATGTGTAGAGAGTTCTGAAATTATTAAATTCACTATAACCTTAATATTTTAAAGTTTATATTGTTTATATTAAAATAAACTGAAACTTAAGCCCAACTCATGAACTCAACTCTTTAGATATTGACCTCAATAATGGTCTACACTCCTGAAAAGGATATTGTATCAAAGAAGAGGAGAAGAGAACTTCATCATGAAGAAGGATTAGCTAATATATTGGGAAACCAACTCTGAGGCTGAGCTATGTGCCATTCGTTAGTTTCATCCAAATTGACTTAGTGGTTAAGAATATTTATGAATTAATATGTTTAAGATTAATTTAAATGTATATCCAAGCATATTCAAGCTAAACCAATTATAAAACAACAAATAATTATAGTAAATGAGATTAAGTTCTGAAACGAATTTTTTCCATTTTGCTTTCTCCCTTTTACTTTGTTTGACTGTCGTGAAAAGTTTCACACTGCGGTTTGCCAACTAATGCGTCATAAATTCAAGTGCTTTTACCTAAACAAACCAGTCTGCTGCTCCAATGGCGTCGAAAGGAACTCGCTCTGCTCCATAACGAGCCCACACTTGATTTCTCGAATTTTGGCTGATTGTGATGATCGGGAGGACCTAAGGCGCCATGCTGAAGAACGCGCATAAGGTGGCTCTTGGAGATGGTGTTGGAGTGCACGGAGATGCACGGGATCCAAATGTCGTAATCAGGAAGAAAGACGCGGGCATGCAAGTGGCGTTTATAGACTTCGACTGGGCGGGTATTCACCTCGAGACAAAATACCCATTTTTTATGAACCATGCAACTGTTACCTGGCCGGCTGGCGCAGCTGACAACCGTGTCATGACGCAGGAGCAGGACTTGGCGTTGCTAGAAACGCCATTCGAGCAGCGAACTGGACTTTATGAATGATAGCTCATCAAGTTTGAAGTTTGATATTAATACGATCAATCGATTCTGAAATGCTGTGCGGCTTTTGCATAGATCACAATCCTGGAAACGGGAAGGTGGCAAGAGGTAGAGAGTAGTACAGCTATGACAGTTAAGGCGCTTCTACACCTCCTATACCCTAAACCCTAACCCGGTGATGAGGATGGAAGAGCGAGTGAGAGTGCGGGTCCTTGGCGCCGGCGAGACCGCCGCGAAGGGTTTACTATTTGACGAAGACGGGGATGTGGTGACCGAGCAAAGCGACCTCCCTTTCGGCAACTACACATATAAACTCGGTACGTCTCTCATATCATTTCTCGCTCGACCCAGAATTACACTTTCTTTGTAGACTTCAAATTTGCCGATTCGTGCATTTTCAACAACGGGCCGAAGGATCTGGAGAACAGCGAGGTCCTGGCAAATCTGCAGAAGAGCAGCGAGCCCAAGTTTCTCAACTGCAGGCCATCCCATGCTACGCCTCCAATCCCTCTCCAACTCGTTCATCCAGTCTTTGGTCACTTCATCGACTTGACTCGCGACGAGCAAGCTCCTCGGCTGGGAGACATCGAGTTCGTGGTGGAGCTTGCGAACCTTTCCTCGGTTTACCACTCGGAGGACACCAAGCTAAGACGCGCTGTTCACAGGCTCTTCTCCAGGTACCTGGACATTCCCTGCCGGGAGACGCTCACGATTAGCGACAGCTGGGAAGCTCATCTTGCCATGATGGTGAGCGTCTTCTTCTAGTCTCTTGTTCTCTCACGCTAGTCTTTCTATCTCTCCAGAGTCGCTCCAAGAACAAGAGCCTGACTGCTATAGGTGAAGTGAGGCTCAAGAACAATCTTGCTTCGTATGCCCATGGCTTTCACTGCTACGCACTCTTCTGGGACATGGTGGGAGCCAAGGAGCGCTACATAGACACTTGTTATCCAGCGTTTCTCATGGAGCTTGTTGGCTGCAATCTAAGGATTAGCGCCATGGCGAAGCTCGACAAGGTGGTGTGCCAGCCTCTCACGCACTTTGTCAACCTGTTGCCAATCCAGGGCTTGGATCCAGACATGGTAAGCGACGCTGTGCGTGTTTTGGTCGCCTTCAAGCGCTGCCTCGGGCTGCTAGACGACTACTATTGGAACGCTCCGGCCGGGGGAGAGGCAGCTCTGGAACATGGACGTTCCATATCCGCTGCATGAAGCAGGGAAGGTGGTGAAGCAGTTTGGGAATACGCTTGTCTATCTGGTGGAGCCTTTGGGCGTGGTGAAGCTGGCCAAGAGATACGGAGTGGAGGTCCATCGCGCGTGGGCTGCTGCTGGCTTTGTTCCGGCGCTCTACCAGGTTAGAGCGCTGGCTGGTGGATGGATGGAGGTGAAAATGGAGTATCTGGGACGGGAGAACGGGTGGGAGATGCTGGCCGAGTGTGAAGACGCGGACGAGCTGAGGGAGCAAGCTGTTGCCGCGCTGCGAAGCGCTCATGGCGTTCCAGTATCGTCTAATGGCGGGGTCGGAGTCCATGGAGATGCCAGGGACGTCAATGTGATGGTCAGGCGCCGAGATGGAGGAGTGGAAGTGAGATTCATCGATTTCGACTGGGCGAGCATACATGGAGAGGGGCGGTATCCTCCCTTCATGAACGTTGTGGAAGTCCAGTGGCCTCGAGGGGCCGAGTGTGGGCTCGTTATGGAGCAGAGCCATGATGTGGAGTTCCTTTCGACGCCATTGGAGCAGCAGACTGGTTTGTTTAGGTGAAAGCACTTGAATTTAAGACGCATTAGTTGGCAAACCGCAGTGTGAAACTATTCACGACAGTCAAAGAAAGTAAAATGGAGAAAGCAAAATGGAAAGAACTCAATCTCATTTCACTATAATTATTGGATATTAGATATCGCATTTAAATTAATCTTAAACATATCTATAATTCATAAACATTCTTAAACACCAAGTCAATTTGGATGAATGTTATTTAATTTAATTTTAGTGTTTTACCCACTAACAAATGGCACATAGCTCAGCCTCTGGGCTCGCGTACTCTGTTGGAGGTTGAAGGCCTACAACCTTGGCATTCTGGTTGAGCAAAGGGCATGAAAAAGATGAAATCACATGGGTACTTGCTCTTTTACCATTTAGTACAGACTCTTTGGAATTTGTTATTTGTTATTTGCTTCATCCAAACACTTTTGTTTGACCGTAAATCGTGCATTTTCTGAAAAGTTACCTACTAAGGACATCCTTAAGCGTATTTTTCCTTCTTAATTCAATTAGATCAATTTCTTGCTCCAAATCTTTACAGCCTCGTCCAGAACAGCATGAAATGGCTATTTATTCTTAGTGATGTTGTTTAATACCCCAGGTTTTAATTGATGGGGATTGTTCTTGTCAAGGACAACTAAGCTTAGAGGTAAGGTTGTCATTCTAAGGTTAATGACTTCTTTTTATCCTTCTTCTCTTTCTACATTCTCCTTTGATCCATGTACTGTTTAAAGGTTTGAAGAAATGTGGTGAGAGTTGCTAATCTTTTTCAAATGTTTTGTTAGCCTGGTTAGATATTTACATAAGTTGGATAACAATATGTTTTATATTAATGTATTATTTTGTGTTTACTTGCATAAAGTTAAAATAACAGATTTGCATGGAAGAAATTATGTAAAATGCACAATAGTAAAGCTCAAAGAAAAGATTCTAAAAAAAATATAATTGTTGAGACTAATATATATAACATAAATAAGAATTGATTTCATTGTCCAAATGGATTTTGCAAATTAATTTCTATTATACACCTCAACTTTTTTTGAAGTATAAAAGAATTTTATTCTTTTGAAACTTAGGAGAAGTAATTGTTGAATTTGTATGATGAAATCTATAGTAATAGATATGCACCATCTAGGAATATAATTTTTGTTACTTGATAAACATTCTTCCTAGGATCCATAACAAACATTCTAGTGTTGCCACATGGCATTTCAAAATCTATTAAATCTTTATAAGGTTATTTAAAGCTTAGTTTTGGCTGTGGCTTTATGGAGTTGTGTAATTTGGTTTTGTGTGATCTGGGGTAGGATTTTGAAGACGCACACACACATATATATATATACCATTTAAAAGTTTTATTTATATATGTTTATGGTTCTTTTTTTGTTTTATTTTATTTTTTAAAAACAAAATTAAAATCCTAATTTACCAAATTTTTTTATATTTTTTGTTTTAACTATCTAAATACTCAATGTTTTTATGAATATATTTTATGTATAGTCTGAAAAAAATATAGTTAAACGAGCTAATTTAAGAAGTAAAATCCTTGTTTTGCAATGTGAATATTTCTTATTAATATAACATATATATATATATATATAATTATATATGTGTGTGTGTTTTGTTATGTATATATATATATTGTTATGCCACACATGTTTCAAAAATAAATAAAGACAAGTTTTATACTTTGAAAAAAACAGTGGCAGAATATCCTTTGTGTTTATTTTAAGATTTTGTTTAAACCAGGGCTACCTATCCTAGGGGTTTTTATTCGTCGATGCCAATGGAAGGCAACGAGGCGGCGGCGGCCACGGGGGATGGAGGAATCAGCGCAAGGAGCTCCGGATCGTCCCATTCCAGCTCCGATTCAGCGACTCCCAATCGCCGTCGCAAGCGCGCCTTTCTAGGTTCGAAATCCGTGGCCAGCGACGCTGCTGTCTCAGATCTTCCCCTGGCGCTCACTCGCCCCGTGAGGAATGCCCGGCTGCGCAACTATTACCCCGACTACTCCATCTACAGTGGTATGCCGGCGCGTAGGGCAAAGGCCAGGGCCAAATCCAGCAAGAATCGCGGCTCCATGAAGCAGCGCCTCGCGAAGATGCTCAAGCCGCGCCACAGCGTAAGCGAAATCTTGTCTTTCGAGGTTTTTTCTGAGAGATATCCTGGGATTTCTCGCCAGAATATCGACGGAGGAGGCCATCACTTGCGACGCTCAACGAGGAACCGGCGGATGTCTGTGCTCTACGATGATTACAGTGACGAGGAAGATGAAGAGGAGATTGTGGTGAGTCATTGAGAGAGTTTTTCTTTTAAGTAGCATCCACAACTCATTTTAAATTGTTGATTGGTAGCACAGCGCAGTTATCGTTCTAAGTCGGATGAGCATGCCAATTCCACCAAGAAATCCAGCGGCAGCATTGCGGCTCCTCGAAGAGAAGGCTTGAGGCCCCGGAATTCGTCACAGCGTTTTGAGAGGCAGAGGGTAGTGGAGTCGTCGCAGGAATCGGCGGATGACCACGAGACATCGGACGAGGACGCTGAGGAAGGAGAGGATGGAGAAGAGGACGACGATCTCGAGTCCGGGGAAGAGGAAGACGAAGGAGAAGACGGCGTCGCTGGAGAACAGGAAAAAGAAGTGGAGGCGGCCGGGGGTGACGAAGATGGCGAAGAAGAGGAGGAGGAGGAAGAGGAGGAACTAGAGGAAAGAGATGGAAAACGCAGGTACGAGCTACGCGCTCGCACAGAAACCCAGAGATCTCCTCCGAAAGGAGACGTGACGACGCCACAGAAGGTTTTCCTCGCCGAGACGGAAAAGAAGCGGAGTCGCGAAGGTGGTCGCTCTGCGTCGAGGCCGCTCAAACGGCGGCGCAGGGAAGAAGACTCTGATGACTCGCTTCTGGTGGACGAGATGGAACAGGGTCCGGGGTTTTTTGGTGCCAGAGGTGGTGCTCGGGGACCTCATCCATTTCTTCCTCCTACTTTGGATATGCACGGTTCAACGAACTGGGGTCTAGGAGTAGCTGCTAGCGGGTGGGGACACCAGGGCGACTTCTTGGGACTAGGATTAGCTAATACAGGGACACAGACAGCCGGAGCTAGCTCTAAAGGTGGTGCGGACATACAACCAGTCCAGGTTGATGACACCGTCAGTTTTGATCAGGTTGGGGGCCTCTCACACTACATTGATTCGCTCAAGGAGATGGTTTTCTTCCCCTTGCTTTACCCAAAGTTCTTCGAGAGCTATCACATCACTCCTCCCAGAGGTGTACTCCTCTGTGGGCCTCCAGGTACTGGCAAGACGCTGGTCGCCAGGGCATTGGCTAGTGCTGCGGCACGGGCTGGCCAAAAGGTGAACTTTTACATGCGCAAGGGTGCAGACGTGCTGAGCAAATGGGTCGGGGAAGCTGAACGGCAACTACGGATGCTCTTCGAAGAGGCTCAAAGGTGTCAGCCTTCGATTATATTTTTCGACGAGATTGACGGCTTGGCCCCCGTGCGGTCCAGTAAGAGCGAGCAAATACACAACTCTATCGTCTCGACCCTTTTAGCTCTGATGGACGGGCTTGATTCTCGGGGTCAGGTGGTGGTTATCGGCGCGACAAACCGGATAGATGCCATAGACGGAGCACTCAGACGTCCAGGACGCTTCGACCGTGAGTTCGTTTTCCCTCTACCGGACTCCGGTGCTCGAGCAGAGATTTTGGATATTCATACGAAAAGTTGGCACAGACGACCTTCTACAGAGCTTCGGGACGAGTTGGCTGCTGCCTGCGTGGGATACTGCGGTGCGGACTTGAAGGCTTTGTGTACTGAAGCAGCTATTCGGGCATTTCGGCAGCGTTATCCACAGGTTTATACCAGTGATGAACAATTTGTCATCGACGCAGATTCCATCCGTGTCCAAAAGTCTCACTTCTACGAAGCCATGTCTGCCATCACGCCTGCAGCGCACAGGGGAACATTAGTACATTCGAGGCCCCTCCCTCCAATGCTCGTGCCTTGTTTAAACGGGCAGCTTCAGACGGTCGTAGCTGCATTGTCAGACATTTTCCCGCTACTAAGCAATCCAGATGGCGATGAGAGCTCGGAGAATCTAACCAGGCTATTTGGCACGCACACTGGCATGATATTTCCTACGGTATACAAGCCAAGGTATCTGCTGTGTGGCACTGATAGCTCGGGACTTGTAAGTATGCTTCAGTGTGTTCGTTGCGATCTTTACTTACAAAGGCTTTTACATACAGGACCACTTAGGACCTGCATTGCTACACAAGCTGGAGAGATTTCCTGTACATTCTCTTGGACTTCCTTCCCTCTTATCCGATCCGAGTGCCAAAACCCCCGAGGAGGCACTAGTTCACATCTTCGGGGAAGCGAGAAGAAATACTCCGTCAATCCTATATTTACCTCATTTCGATTCGTGGTGGGAAACGGTAAGTGGTGATCATTTTCTTTAGTTGCATACAAGTGTTTATTCTTTTGTAGGCGCAAGAACAGCTACGCACGGTGTTGTTGATGCTTTTGGCCGATTTACCTTCCAATCTCCCGTTATTGTTACTTGGAACATCCTCAGCTCGAAAGAGCGAACTAGACGACGAAGCCTGTTCCGTGTTTGGTCGTCACATGTAAGCTTAGTCGCATATATGCAGCCAGTTTTTTAATTGCTGATTGATGTGTGGTGTAGCTACGAAGTACAAGTTCCAACCCGCGATGAAAGGGATGCGTTTTTTACGCAAGTAATAAAAAGCCTCTTTACACTCTCCAGCGAAGAAGAAACCACAAAACCTAAGAAGAATGCCGAGTTACCTGTGTTAGCGAAGGTTCCCAAGGTCGACAAAGGTCCAAGCGAGGCTGAGCTAAAAGCACAAGCCGAGGCTGAGGAGCATGCCATTCGTCGCTTGAGGATGTGCTTGAGAGACGTCTGTAACAGGTACTCTGCCAGTATTTCCTCTTTTTTCTAAAGCCCTGTCCATGGTTTTACAGGCTTTTATATGAGAAACGTTTCAACATATTCCACTTCCCCGTGGAAGCCGAGGAAGTGCCAGACTACCATACGATCGTAAAGACGCCGATGGACGTGGCTACGCTGCTCCTCCGCGTAGATAAAGGCCACTACAGGACGCGCGCCGCCTTCATGCAAGACGTGGAGCTGATACCAGCCAGTGCAAAAGTAATTCCACTCGTTCTTTCCTCCTCGCTTGCGAGCTAACGTTGTGTGCAACAGAAATATCACGGCGAGGACTACAGCAATCACACCGCTGCTCGGATTGTTAGCCGGGCGTGTGCTTTGCGTGATGCGGTACGTAATCTCCTCCATTTGCAATTTTCTATTCGTCTCGATTCTTATCCCTGCTATTTTTCACAGGTCCAAGGCATGCTGTCCCAGATGGACCCGGAGCTGGTGGCGTATTGCGATAGAATAGCCAGCCAAAGCCAAAGCGGTAGCGCGGCGGCGGCCGCGGCGCCGCCAGACGAAGCTTCCAAGCGACCTGACAACAATCCGGGAACGCCACCGGAGCCTCAGCGATCGAGCGCGAGGCTACGAGGCATCCAACCGGATTTGAACCTCCCGGCCAACGGGAACGGTGACGAAGCTGGACCAGGCGGTAAAAAAAATCTCGTTTCTCTCTTCGTAAATATTGATCCAAGCTTGGATTGTGTTTGGCAGGAGGAGAGGAAGAAGCGTTACCATCAAACCATACCGAGGAGGCGGACGAGGAGGAGGAAAACGAAGAGAAGCCAACACCATCACCAATGGACGGTGGCGATCGCAAAGATGGCGAGCAAGACGACGAGCAACAGGGAGAGGGAGAGGGACAGTGGCTGTACGGGGTGGGCGAGGACAAGATCAAGGCAGTGAAGGCCAAGCTTTTACTCCACAGCGAGGCATTCACCGTGTCGGAGCTCGAGATGCTTTACGCCAGGCTCTGCGGAAGGATCCGGCAACAGCGACGCGGCCACCTCACGAGAAGTGCCATCCTCCAATCATTACAGGTGTTTGTGGAGGAGGAAATCGCCACCGCCGCCGCCGCCACCGCCGCCGCCGCCGCCGCATCGCCGCCACTTGTAGCCACTTTTAGAGATCATACACACTCGTAATGAAAACCATATACCAGCATATTCCAGGTATATTCATTGAATATCGTGGACCTTTTTCCGGGGGTTTGATAATGTACATGGATTGAGAGAAGCGAAGACATTTATCACAAAAAGGTTTGCTCTTTTTACCTGGGAGCTCTTTTTTCTCTTCTTCGCGCCTTCCTCTTCCTTGCTTTTGTTCTTGCGTGTCTCTCTCTTTGTTCGCTCGAGAGCTCTCTTCCCGCTCGCTCGCTCGCTCGCCGCCGGGTGGTTTCGAGTATACATATCTTCCAGCCAGCCAGCCAGCTATCAAACGAAGAACCAGAAGAACTAGTAGAACTTCCTCCATCCCGCCATTTCTCTGTTTTTATGGCCTCAGCGCGCTTGCCGAAGATTGGCCGAGCAGACCCGGCGCTCCTCCGCTCGAGGCCACCGCCGCCGCCGCTGCTGCTGTGGACGCTACTGCCATTGGCGACGCGGCCACCAAAGGCATTGACGACGCCAACACTGCACCACCGTTCCCTCCGCCACCTCCGCCTCCTCCTCCTCCCTGCTGCTGGATCACTCCGCTCGAATTTACAAAGTTGGCTGCTGCCACCGCCGCCGCCACTGGATTCGACGCCGCCAGAGCTTGAGCTTGCGACGACGCGGCACCGCCGTTATCGACTCCGGCTGCTGTACACGACGCTGCTCCCACATAGCTCCCTTTGCCACCACCACCGCCACCACCTCCTCCAGGGGTTCCAGGCGGATGCTGCTGCTGCTGCCTCCCAGGTGCCTGGCTCGAAAAGCTGGATACGGATGCCTTGTGTGGGGACGGCATCGATGATGTGGACGGGATCGCTGGCGACCTCTCCGCTAATGGATTGGCATCTGTAAAAGACGAATCAGCAATGCGCACCACTGGGATCTCGCGTACCATTCTTTGAATCGGGCGTCTTCAGCGAGGCGGGTCCTCCTCCCGGATAGAAAGCGGCCGCCTGCAGCTGCTGCTGGTGGCTCGCACTTGGAGAGCCCGCCTGGTGCTGCAACACAGGCACCACAGTGCCGTTTACACGCTGCGGAGTGCCCGGCATGGAAGGCACGGACGACGCTCTAGAGCCTGGGGAAGCGGCAGGCTTGGACATGGGGGCTTGGCCGAAACCGTTGTTGTCCATAACGCCACCACCGTTTTTGACAGGGGTCCCGTTGCTGCCTGATCCCAGGGACAGGCTTTGCGATCCCAGCGACAGCCCGTTTGTGGATGGAGAACCCGCGCCCTGTAGCTGGAACTGCGGTGCCTGAGGAAGCTGTTGCTGCTGCTGCGCAAGTCCTTGCTGCTGTTGTTGCTGCTGCTGCTGCTGCAAGTACTGCTGATGGAGGAACATCTGGTTTTGACGTAGCTGATGCTTCTGGTTCGCGTGCTGCTGCAGCTGGCTCATGTGAGGAGAATGCTGAGGTGACGACTGCAAAGGTTGCTGCGGCAATTGTTGTTGTTGTTGCTGCTGCTGCTGCATGCCTTTCGATGATGGTTGATTTTGTGGCGCTGCATTAGGCATCGCTGGACCATTAGGCGACCGCTTCCCAGGTAACACTGCTGCTGGCTTGTGTGGAGGATACGTAGCTTTGCTCGCGTTCTTCTGGTTGACAGAGCCTTGTTGCTGCTGTTGCTGTTGCTGCTGCTGCTGCTGCTGCTGCTGCTGCTGCTGCTTCGATGCTACCGATGGCGAACCTGGAGCTGGACTTCCAGGCGGAAGCCTCTGCGAGGGTGAAGAGCTTTGTGGGCTTCGAGCAGGTTGTACTTGGTTCTTCGACATGGCAGCAGCTATTACCGACGCACCAGGTACGGCTGCTACCGACGGCCTCTGCGAAAGCTTCAGCTGTGGATGCTGCGACACCACCTGGTTTTGTTTCGAGGTCGCTTGCATGGCAGCCATTCCACCCTGGGCTGGAAACGGCATTCCATTGCCGGAGTTCCTATTCAACGAAGATCGATCATTGAAGGACGCTACCGGTGACCCCGAAGTAGCTGGCGGGGCTTTTGCTCTCGCAGCAGCAGCCGCCGCTTGTTTCATGTTCTGGTTGACGGGCTGTTGTTGCAAAGGAGCAGCACCAGACTGAGTTTGATGAAGACGTGATGACACCGACCCCGCAGGCAGGAGATTCATTGCGGCATTTGCCATTCGAGATGAAGAGCTGCCACTCGTCGGAGATGCTTGCATGGGTAGCGCTTCAAGGTCGACTCTGGAGATTGGTGCCGACCGTTTAGCCGCAAGCTTTCTCTCGTCAACGCTGGTCTGATTGTTCCCTTCATATAGTTCATCGACCCTCAGAGAACGAGGCTGCCCGGCCTGCATTGCGTGCAAATGAGTCTGCGTCTGACCATGTGGATGCATCCTTCCTTGATCTGCCATACCTTGAAGTACTGTATGGCCTTGCGGGGCCATTACAGCAGCAACCGAAGCAAGTCCGAGTGGGCCTGGTCCAACTGACCCCCGGGAGGCAGCCGAAGATCCATGAACTTGCGACGCCTGCGACTCCATTCCTTTCAAACTCATATGCAAGGACGCATTTGCATGTTGTCCCGCCTGCGATGGAACTCCCGGATGTTGTTGAACTGAGCCCGGCTGCAGCTTTCCTACGTGTTTACCGCCCAACGAGGAGAAGTCCTGGCATCCATCTGGTCCGACCACAACCGGAGGCGTCGCAGTTCCATTACTTGACGTTTGCTGGGAGAACATAAGGCGTTGCAGCATTTTGTTGTCGCCAGCTTCCCTGCAATCTTTTTCACCCGGTAAAGCTCCTGCCAGGCTCGAACTATACGCTGACGATGAAAGTTGCTGCTGTTGAGAACCCCCCAAAGCGGAGAAAACACGGCCACCCTGTTGCGGTTTTTGAGACTGGCCCTGCTGCTGTTGCACAAGATGCGGGGCATAGAATGGATTGTTCACAAATTGAGCTGCCTGCACATAAAAGAATATCAGTCGCAAAACCAACGAAAGAGATAATGGACCTGTTGGGTGAGACTTTGTGCTCCGTTGAAATTATGGGAGCCGAAATGAGACGTCGGAAACGGGAATGGGAAAGGATTATGCTGCATTACTGCCTGAAAAAACTGAGCTTGCGCAGCCATTGATGCCACACTGCTGCTTCCAGTTCCGGAAACACTCGAGTTTCCTGATCCGTTGCCATTGCTACCTGGCATCAAGCCTGATGACCCCGCGGATCCTGAGGCATTAGTTGGCAGACCCTGACTAACAGGAAATCCAAAGGCTGGACTCTGTTACGAAAATGCTTGTTAGGATGTTACTAAATCAAATGGCACATACTTGAACATGTTGCTGCTGTTGTTGCGCAGGATGCTTTCTATAAAGCGTGTCCATAAATGGTCCTGCCTTGGATTGTTGCGTATTTCTCTCGAGTGCAAGCCCAGAAGAAACGCTAGAGCCCATTCCACTAGCTGAAGGAAGAATACCGCCATTTGCGAAGACAGCATCAGCAGGAATGTTGAGATTGTACGGCTTTCCTCCATAGCTTAAGGTTGCTGCCATTAAGGAGTGTCGAGCCACTTGCTGTTGAAGATCAATAAACCGGGCGATAAAAACGTGAATAGCGCAACGTTTCCACGTATGACGACCGCTTAGATATGGCATTATCTGATTAAAGACAGCACATTTGAAATCAAAACGCTTCAAAATAGTGGTTCTATCGTACCTGTGGATGCGAAGCATTGTTTTCTTCGGTAGAAGTACCGGTAAGTGCTGCTGCTTGAGCAGCTGCAGCCGCAACAGCCGAGGGAGGAGGGGCATAGTAACTGCAAAGAACTCAGCAAGAGATGAGAATTTAGAGTTTCTAAGAAAACATACCCTGCAGGCCAATTCGCCCGAGCAGGCGCGGTGTGGCTAGTACCAGTAGTCGCATTTAGGAATGATGATGCAGCAGACACTACAGCCGCGGAAACTGAGAAGTAAAACGATCACAAACGTAGATTGAAGAGAAGGATTACGAGCCTACCTGATCGATCCGCCTTCTGTGAGTTCTTTGCATCGACCTTGAGGCCTTTGGTGGATCTCATACCCACCATTCCTTGCTTATTGAGGTCTAAAAATTCCCTCTCATCTTTTACTTGCGGTTCGGCCTCCTTCCTCGTATCGCTTTCATCTAATTTCTGATCCCGCTGCTCCTCTTTATCTTTTTCCTTCAACCTCTCTCGCTCTTCTAGCCAGTATAGTTCAGCCGTGCCGCCAGCTTGAACGTCCATCTGCATTTTAAACAAGGTCAGCGAGCAGTTTCGCCTGTTCCCACTTACATTTTCCTTGCGATCCGTATCAGAACTCTCCATATCATTTTGCCTATCATTTTGCAAAGATGTCGATGGAGGGGCCTTAAGAAAATGCTGTGTTAGAACGTAGGAAGCAACACAACAAAGTAATTCTTACCATAAGATCAATTTCAAATTTCGCCGGCCTGTTTTCGCCAGATGAAAACTTCCTGCAGAATAACATAAGCAGATTAAAAAAACAATAGCGTGAGAAAACACATACCGCTTATTCAGATCCGCATTAGCGTTCGTTACTGTTTCGGCACTCTTTCGCTCGGCCAAGCTCGTCTTCACCTCAGGTGCGATGTCAGCCTTCTTCAATTCAGTATCACAAGGCTCAGCAGCTTGAGCCGACGCCGATACCGGGGTCCCTGCAAGACTTGGAGCAGAAGTGCCGGTTAACTTGGAAAAGTTATCGATTTTCCTCTCGTTCCGAGCTCCTTGCTCATGTTCCCTGCCCAGTGAAACAACCCCCACGCGCCCTCCAGGTGCCGAGCCTCCTTCATCCGATCGTGGCCTTATGCGAGGCCGTTTTCTTCGAGGTGCTGAAACAGAGCATGCTGTACTTAAGTCCTCAGATTTTTGCACACGAGAAAATAACGACGTACCTTCAGCAGGGTGTGATGTTACATTATTGAGAGAGGGAGGGGATAAAGGAGTTCCAGGCTGAGCGGGGGAGGACGCGGCTTTAGCAGGAGAAGCGGAAACTTTATCCAACTTCGCTTCCGCCCGAGAATCCATCTTGTTGTTCTCGCTCTTTTGGAGATTAGGCACCATTCTAGCCAAATCGAATAGAGCCTCGGCAACTTCGACCTCCTGCTCGGATATTGGAGCAGGCGAGGACTGTAGAAACAAAGATGACTGGGAATCAATCCAGAAGCCAAGCCGCTAGAGGAGCCATTTCTTACCTTCGGTGCTTTTGCTGGCCGTGGTTTTGACCCATTTGGTTTCTGCACAACACGTCTGACAGCGTTAGACCCCCTGACAGCCCAGAAAGTAGATCTTCACGGGAGAGTAAAATTTCGACCATACCATTCGACGGCCGGGCTTCCCAGCTCCGCCACTCGTATACGTAGAAGAAGGAATGTTAGGAGTTGCCGTGGGAGAGGAAGAGTGATGGGATGTGGCATTTGGCAGCTGTGGAGACTCGTGGTGTCGCTTCACGATTGCTGTGCAGAGCAAAACAAGAGAAGATCATCAGCCACTGCCCAGCAAACGGATCAAAGCTCCTACCAGAGCGAGCTTTACGAGGAACCGCTGGAAGATCTAATCCAATGCCCTCTTCCTGCCAAAAAAGGATCCGTCGTGAGCAAAGCAAAAGAGCGGCAGAGCGTCCACTTCTCTCCACACCTTGGAGCTCGGCCTTGGCTTCCCAGGCCACCGAGGAATAGTTGGAGGAGGGGGATCATCGTCCTCTTCGGTCGCTCCATCCGTGTCATCCGAGCTCTCCTCCGCCTCATCCACCGCGCTGGGCGCCGGCGCCTCTTGCCGCTTTCGCTTGTTCCGCAGCGTTGCTCCAGAGGAGACGACCGACACTAGGCTGTCCTTCTTGATCCTCTCGCGCAGCCTGGAATTCTGGACCTCGTCTATCATTTCGTCGTCGTCATGAACTGCGAGAAGATCGATTTCCCAGTTAGATGGAACCCAAATTGTACCGCATCGCGCAAGCAAGCCACAGATCTATCGATGGAGGCCATCGAACAGAGAAGCACGCTAAATGCTGCACGATCTCTCTAAACAAATTCAAGGCATCGAGTCAGTGCCAAAGAGGCAAGAAAGCAAACGAGAGAAGAAGAATGGCAAGAACACACAAAGGATTTGCAGCCAAAATTGCCCATTGCCAGGAATGGCTTTCCTGACCTGGAGAGTCTTTGAAGCCAGTCGTGCGAGGCCGCCGAGGGGCAGAAACTGGGCCACTACTGCCTGTTCTTCGCCCTTCTCTTGCTCTGTCCATCATAGCGCTTGAATCTAAGGAGGACGAAAAAGAAGAAGAAAAAAAACTAGCCCCCGTCAAAACTGAAGAACCGGTGGCCAAGAACACCACAAGAAGAGATGCATCGGCGAACTCTCTCCCTTTTCTGGAATTCCTTCACCGCTGCCAGGACGCCCTCTGGACATGGAAGCCATGCCGATTTGCCGTCACAATCTCCCCATGAATTCGCTTCCAATCTTTTTCCTCCCTGAAAATTTCGAGGCCGACGAATGCTTTCGAGGCCCGGTGGAGGAAATCCGTCAAGAAACTGAATTAGCCCCTGCCAATGCTCCTCATCGCGGCAGAGAATCCCCTGGCTGGCCCCGAAAGAAAAGAATTCCACACCATGCGGCAACAAGAAGCAAGAAACTGGAGAGAATATCAACAAGAAGCTTCCGATGGAGGCGTGCCGCCGCTGCTGCCGCCGGATCCAAGCCTCGCCAATTCGGGGCCTTAGCAGCGAGCACTCTGCCGCTCGCTCCTCCCCGCTACAAATCTCGAATCGCTCGCTGGCGCTGCTGCTGATGCGCCGAGATTCACAGATCAAACCCTAGCGCGCCGATGCCTGCCAGAGATTGATGCTTCCCCAGGACGCTCTTGATCAAGAGATTCCTAACCTAGGAGGAGAATGAATGAATGGGGAGAGAAGGCGGAGGGAGAAGAGAAATGAGAGATGAGTGGGCTACACAACACAAAACCAAGCGCAGCCCAAGGCAAACAAAGAGCGGAGGAGAGAAAGACCACACACACACTGGTCTGCCATGCCAGGTCTGGCGGTGCTGGACGTGACCCGGTTCGGAACAGCCTCGTGACCAGCTCCGGTAACAAGGTTCGGCTCTACCCACACCTAGAAAAAGAACCTCCCTTGTACGGATAAACGCGTACGGTTATGCTGGGTAAATGTCCCTCGGGCCTCCAAAGATCACGCTTTTACCTGATGCTGGAGTAATAAGGCGCAAGGTTTTTGGTGTTACTTTGTAAATGCCCAAGGAGCAAAGGCCACGTGTACAACTAGGGAATTGATATGCAGGAAGAAATTTTTTTGACAATGAGTGCTTGCCCAACAAAACAAGATTTCTACCTAATTGCAGTAGCTACCAGCTGAAATTTAAAAAACAAATCCATGTAGCAGACAATATTGACAAAATGCCCCATCCATCCATGCCAGGCCCCGGGGTTAAAGTGAAGGGAAAAAAAAGAATCCTCGCGAGGAAACGACAGGTGGCCACATCCCATGGGCTCTTTTTATTTTGTAAAAACCGGTCAATAGAACTGTTTCAAAATTCCGGTAGATAAAAGTAGCATCCACCGTCCGCCTTCCGCCACGTAAGATCCACATCGGCCGCTAGGTCCGGCGCCGAGCCTCCACCCCTGGTAGTTAAAAACTAAGCACGGGTTTAGAAGCCACGTGCGAGGGCGCGCGCCTTGGGCCGTCCACTTGGCAGCAATCGAAACCGCTCAATCGGCCAATTCATAAAAGTAACTGTATCTTGTTCGACTCAAGAGGTGTGCCGTCAATGTCTTTCGCATTTTTGAAGCTTATAGGGAGAACTCCCCCCATCCGTACTTGCTAAATTCCTTCATCTCGAGGCGTACGGCATTGTGTTATCCGTGATATGGTGGGCCACGAGCCTTGGCGTGAATGAGATCAATCGAAGAGCCTGAGGGAACTCAAGTCAATTTCCACAAGGGAAGCGGATATACCTATAAAAGCTATAGCATATGAATACATGAATTACCATGAGGAAAAAAACAATGCTTGAGATCAAGATCGATACGGTGCCAGCTCTTGCGCTTTTCCGGTGGAGATAGAGAGAGAGTGTAGGAATCTTAAGAGAATCTGGGGGATGCTTGTGGATGGATGGGTCGTCCATGAGATCCGAACTCGGAGTGGGAGAAAGCGTGGCTCACCTGGGACCCACCACATTTGCCTTTTCACTTAAAATCTAACGGTGACTCCCTGCCCAATTTGCTGCCGTCTGATGCCGCCCCCGTGGACGGCGCAGATGTGTCCATGTCAGCCAGCCACTTCTCAGATCGGCGGTTTTAATATTTCCACGCTACGTCCGTCAAAAGTGGCCACGAACCCGATTAGTAACCAGATGCAGGGCCTGGCAGCCGTCGGATCCACGGCTTGGATGGCCCAGATGTCTCGCTCCGCGTGTAGATGAGGTCACAACCCCGGGCCTCATTGTCCATGCGTCCGGACCTCGGAAAAGATCTCTGGGTCTCCAGCTAGGTCCGGAACCGGGGCTGCGTATGTAATCGACATCGCTGCGTGCTACATTGCGTCGAAATCGTTGCGGCTGATTTGGCTGTCTCTACGCAAATTGCACTGGTGAGTATATTTTTTCTCCTTTTGCTGTCTGGCAAGGTGTTCAAGACCAGGGAGAAAAAGAATCCCGTCATCCTTTAGTGCTTAAAAACCTTTACTCTTTTTTATAACCAAACAATGTGATATGGTCTCTGATTCCCTTGATCGCTTCAAAAGGTGGTGTTGGAGTCTTAGAGGGAAACATAATGTACAAAGATAAGATTAGTGCCTGGTATATATAAGAGCGTTGAGCTATTTACTCGTCCCTCAATACCGGCTATAAGGGTGGTACCGGCCCGTGCTGCTGCTAGCATGGCTCCTGCTGTTACTGTGACCATAACCACCGCCGCTACCACCGTAGTTACCAGAGGCATAACCACTCCCGTAGCCACCGTAGCCGCTGTATCCCATGCCAGCGTACCCGTCATCATAAGCACCTCCATATCCACCAACGCCGTAGGATCCCATGTATCCCCCGCCCATTGATCCCCCGCCGTAGGATCCCACGCCAATACCACCGTAACTTCCACCGTAACTCCCACTGTAGCCAGCGTAGTACAAGCCCGCGCCTCGGCTTCCATAGCCACCGCTGCCGGTCCGGTAGGAGGTGCCGTAGCTGCCGCCCAGGGCGTAGTCGCCGTACCCATAGTGGCCACCGCCACCGGAGCTTCCGTACCCACCACCACGACTGATTGGGCCATAGCCGCCACCACCACCACTGTCCTGCATTGCCTTCTTTGGCTCTGCTTTCTTAATTTCCACCTGCGAGAACAAAGCGTAAAAACAATGATGTTAGACCATAAAACAAAGAATTTTGAGGAACATCGAGCATCGACGAGGCGCAGGAATATCTCCCGTGGGAGTTTTAAAAGAGAGAGGGGGGATGATATGCCTCCCTGCTGCTGCAGTGCTTGGATCGTTCCATCTAAAAAAACTGGCAAGTGAGAAATTTAATGCCTGGGTTACCTGTTTGCCTCCAAGCTCGTGCATCCTTCCGTGTGAGAGCACGTCTTCGACAGTTTGCTCGCTGTCGAATACTATGAATCCAAAGCCGCGAGATCTCCCGGTGTTGTGATCCTGCATGATTTGGTGCTCGATCACATTGCCAAAGCTGGAGAAGTAAGCCTTGAATTCCTCTGGAAAGAGCAGAAGCAGGCAATGTGAGAACTGAATGTCGCGTCTTGAAGATGTGACCGACCTTCTGTGATGGAGGGAGGAATCCCTCCTACAAAGATCTTCTTTGTCTTTGGACCCTTGACGACAAGCATGCTTTCGCGAGGTATAGATCTCTTGCATTCAACCTGGGAAGGAAAAACCACGCAGATTGGAAAAAAGAAGCTCGCGGTATACAAAGAACTTACAGTCCTGCCGTCCAAAACATGCTTGTCTCGCAACACTCGATCGCAAACATCCGAATCCGCAAACGTTACGAATCCGAAGCCGCGGGGATTCCCACTACTCCGGTCCCTCATGATCACTGCATCCGTGATCTCCCCATACTTTTTGAAGTGACTTTCGAGCTTCTCTGCAACCAACGCAGCTCTCAACCATAAATCCGGAAACCAACATGTGATAAAAAAGAAGAAAACGTCAACAAACCTGTGGTTGTATCCCATGATAGCCCGCCGATGAAAATCTTCCCGTTTCCTCTATCATAGGAAATGGGACGGTTATTAAGTTAGCTATGTCTCAAGACCACTCCTACGCTATATACAAGACACTCGCTAGAGGAAGAACTAAGATCAAACTAGAAGAACCATGAACCAAAGGAAAATCTAGAGCGAAGGAAGGCTGGACCAACAACTAACCCTGCACTGGACGTTCTCTCTGTGTGTCCGTTGGCTGAATCATCTCCATGGGTGTCTACCTGAGCATCTTCGTTGAGCAAATCCCTATGGTGATGGTGCCTGGAATCCCTGGAATCCCCGTCCTGAAACGACGCGAGATCGTCGCCCTGATCCAGTGGCGAATCGGACCGATCCAGATCGTCGTGAACAGGCTGCTCCGAATCAGAGCCGGCCATGGAGAGAGGAGGAGAGCGGCAAGAGACGAGGAATCGGGAAATTCTTGCCTAAAATGTGCGTGAAATTTCCACTCGCTACGATCTGGATTCCTGTTCCAAGACACCTGATCTGACCTCGACGCACTACTCAATCCCCTCGTCCCTCCTCCTACAAATCCAAGCAAAATGCCGGCCCGGGGAGCGAAGATCCAAGAGGCGCGCGCGCGCTTGGCGGATGCTTGCTCGCGCCCACGCAAAGAAGGCAAGAAAATGCGTCGCCCTATTCTTCGGATCCCTCACTTCTCGCCAGGCATTTTACCCTTATGACATGCTGGCACTAAAGTATATTGTCCACGTCACACATTTTAGGGTTCTATAGGGGGATGGAGAGCTCTGTGAAGCTGTGGATCGCGAGCGCGCTTCTTCGTCTAGCTTTGATCGCTTACGGCGAGTGGCAAGATTCCCACCTGGAGGTTCCCTATTCCGATGTGGATTACACTGTCTTCTCCGATGCTGCGGCGTTCATGGCGCAAGGGCGATCGCCATTTCTCCGCGATACCTATCGCTACTCGCCGCTGCTGGCAATGCTGCTGCTTCCCAATGTGTGGATCCATCGCTGCTGGGGGAAGATCTTGTTCTCGGTCGCAGGTAGCGTAATCCTCTCCTCTCCTAGCTTGTTCTTGTGCTAATCGATCGACAACAGGCTGAAGCCCTTGGATCGTTGCAGATTTACTGGCCGGGAGCTTGATCTATCGCTTGCTGCGGTTGCAAGGAATCGCTGAGGGTGTTGCTATCGCCTGTGCTGCGGTCTTTCTTCTCAATCCTTTCACATTCACGATTGGTACGAGAGGGAATTGCGAGGCGCTGCCATGCGCTGTGGTTCTCTGGACTGTGATCTTGCTTTTGCAAGGTGAGTGGTTTCTTTCTCTTGTAGTTCTTGGTTTTATTCCTCGCCTTTGTTCTTTGGTTGGAGTTCTTTACGTGTTCTTTACTTGCTTGGAGGTTTTCTTCTTGTCTTGAAACTTTTTGTTCTTATTCCATTCTTGTTTTTCCAGGCCGCAACCTCCAAGCCGCATTTTGGTATGGATTGGTCGTCCATTTTCGGATCTATCCCATCATCTACGCGCTGCCTTTCGTCCTCTTCCTCAATGCTAGAGCATCCGAGACAACATCCAAGCAAGCTGCTAGCTCCAAGTCGATGATGATCCTCGCAAAGCTCGTAAGTCGCGACAGTCTCTCCTTCGGTCTAACTTCTGGGGCCGTGTTCCTGGCGCTCACGCTCGCGTCCTACGCGCTCTACGGCGCCAGCTTCCTCAACGAGGCACTGCTCTACCACCTCACTCGCACCGATCCTAGGCACAACTTTTCGATCTACTTTTACTCGATCTATCTCCGCCAGAGCTCGAGCATCACGCTGCTGGACCGCCTCGCCTCCTTCGCCCCGCAGATGCTCGTCCAGACCGTCTTCGCGGCCGCGTATCACGATGATCTCCCGCTGTGTCTCTTCGCCCAGACAGCCGCGTTTGTAGCATTCAACAAGGTAAGTTCCTTGTCACCATTTTTTTTCTTCGTTGGTTCGTTGGTTTCTTGTTTCTGAGCTTTGGATTTCGTGTGTAGGTTGTCACAGCCCAATACTTCGTTTGGTTTTTCACCCTCTTGCCGCTTGTCTTGCCATTCACGGGGCTAAAGTTCTTTTGGGGAGGCTCTTTGTGCATTGCAGTGTGGACAGTGTCGCAGCTCCACTGGTTAGCGTGGGCGTATTTGCTGGAATTTAAAGGGAGGAACGTCTTCTTCCAGCTCTGGATCTCCAGCATCGTGTTCTTCGTCGCAAACGTCTTTGTTTTGTCCATGCTCTTGTATCATCACCATAACGCCACGAAGGAACAAAAGCTTAAAGCCATTTAATAGGTGGATGATCGCAAGGTTTTCCCTCTCTTTTTTCTTTTCCCTCTCTCCCTCCATTAGGGCTCCTCGAGTTTTAGGGTTGAGGCGCGAGAGGATGACTGTGGCGAGGGCGAGCAGCGGCGCTTCCGGGGCCAGCGAAGCAGCGGGAGGTATGGCGGCGCCCTCTACTGCTGCTGCTGCTTCCACAATTCCGTCCAGCGCGCGTAAGATGGTCCAGAGCATCAAGGAGATCGCCGTCGAGCGCAGCGACGATGAGATCTATGCGATGCTCAAGGAGTGCGGGATGGACCTCAATGAGGCCGTCCAGCGCCTCTTGAATCAAGGTATGGGACTCGGTTTGTGGGTGACTTTGTGCCAAAACTTGGTTTTTCCTTTTTTGTTTGTATGTAGACACTTTCCATGAAGTCAAGCGGAAGCGCGATAAGAAGAGAGAGGTATGTGGTTCCTTTTACTTGTCTAAGGTGTCAGCGTGCTGACTCTCTTCTCTAAATGTTTTAGAACAAGGATGGCTCGTCCGATATCAAGCCTGCTAGAGGTCCTAGCTCGTCCGCCAGAGGGGGTCGCTATGGTCGTGGAGGTTCTAGATACGGTACAGGTTTTTCTTTCAGATTTCAGTGTTGTGAGCTCAACCTTTGTCTGTAGAGCCTAGCGGAGGTGGTCGTGGCCGGGGTGCTCCGAGAGAGAATGGATATTATCCCAAGTCTTCCGGCCCTCAAGAGGCTCCACCATCGGCAGTGCCGCCAAAATTGCCGAGTGGTCAAGCAAGGTAGTGCTTTTGCAGGTCTTTTTCAGATAGTTACAGTTTTTTTTTTCTTGTCTGTGCAGCAACCCAACTCCAGCACCGGCAGCGCACAACGAGCAAGCAGCTTACCATCGCCCATCTCTCAGCGGTGGTGCTCGTCCAACTATCGCGGAGATCTTGAAGTCGTCGACAATGCAGACCGCTGTCCAACCTCCTAGGCCTCCAATGAGCAGCGATCCTGTTGCACTTGAGCCTGGGATCACCAAGAGAGACGTTGGTGTGGTTGGAAATCAGCGGTCTTCGAACGAGGTTGGCGACATGGAACCCCCTCTGCCGGGTGACTATGTTTCTGACGAGCAAGCACCACTTCCAGACGGGCATCCTGGAATATCGTCGACTTCTTCTGCAACCGATTCTTCGCCGCCACCTCGTGCCACGTACTCCAGCAGCAGGCACCAGGCACCTGTTGGTTCTCAAAAACGTAAGCTCTGATCTTTGCCATGGCTTTCTACTAATCAGTCCGACGTTCCTTTCAGCTGGTGTACTTCAGGAATGGAAAGTAAAGCCGAGCTCTACCGTGCCTTCTGTTGCCACCGACACCTATACGTCTGATTTTCAGAGGGCTCCGGCTCCAGCTACGACGTCTAAGTTCGAGGACAAGGAGGACCAGTCCGTGATCATACATAACCAGTTTCTCGCTTCTGCAGACCTCAACTTAAATTTTGGGAGCTTAACCTTTGGGTCCGATGAGGATTCTCTAACACACAAGCCGTCTGCAGTGGAGGACGAGCCTGAGGGCATAGAAGAAGAAGAAGAAGAGCCTGATGATCAACCTTCTCCGAGGTTTGCAATCACTTTCCGTTTAATGGATTTACTAATAGAAGTCTGGTGACAGTACTGCTTCAAATCCTGCAGCTCAAAACTACGACCTTCCGCAAACATCTGCGATGGCTGATAGTCTTCCTTCGAACAGCGAAGTTACTGCAGTCAGCATTGCGGTCCCAGCAGTGTCTCATTCGGAGCTCTCGAAACCCGACTCTTCCGTGCAAAGCTCTCATTATCCATACTTGCCAACGGCCTATTCTGGATTCGGATTGATGGCTCAACCTGGAACGCAGTATCCGTACGAGTCATCCGATTCTCAACTTTCGGATGGATCTCGTTTTTCAAGCTTGCATCAGCATTATTCGGATCCAACTGCAAGCTACTACACTCCTGCGTATAGGCCCAACGTCGAGACTGATATGCGGTACCCGCTTATGACATCTAAGGCGGCTGCAGCTAAATACAGCACTAGTATGACATCCGTAGCGTCGTTAGCGTCCTCAGAGGTACAGGGTTTACCTTTTTCTTGTCACTAGCTTCTAACGTTCCATTCACAGAGTGGGAATTCTGGTAGTTCTCTTGCGCAAACATCTCAGCCAACTAGCGGCCAGTCGGTTCCGAGTTTGCCGCACCAGCCTCTGCCACTTCATGCTTATTCGGCGCAGCCAAGTTTGCACCTGGGATACAACATGTTTAACTACCCGTATCTCCATCAAAGTGTTCCCTACATGCACGCGCCGTACCAGCACAGCTTTGCGGGGAATAGTGCGTACCCTCAACCTCCGGCTGGAAGCAACTATCCGCCTACAAACAACTATCCTACTGCCGCTGCCAAGTATCCAATGGCTCAGTACAAGCCCGTCACGGCGACAGCGAGTACAATCCACTCTGCTTCGGCAGCCGGGTACGCCGGGTATACATCCTCTCCGGCCGGCTACGCGACCAACCCGATGGTAACACTCGGCCCAGCCTCTCTAAGTTATGACGAAGCCGCGCTATCGCAGTACAAGGACAGCAATGTTTACATCCAAAGTCAACAGGTGAGTTTGTGGTTGCTTTCGTCGTAGAGATGGAGAGATGGAGAGATGGAGTCAGCATTAATTGGTTTGCTAACGTTGGTCTTGCCTTTCAGGGCGAAGGCTTTTCCCGGGAATCTTTCTACAACATTCCGAGTCAAAGCCAATACACTGCGTATGCCCAGCAGCACCACGGACATCCGACGACTGCTTATGGTAGCCTGTACCATCCGACGCAGTCCGTCCCGGCTCCAAACTCTCACCAGATGCTTCAGCAGCCGCAGACTTTGGCCACGGCCGGATCCCAGGGTGCTGCTGCCGCTGCCGCGGCTTATGGCCAGCAGCCTCAACGTGGGTGGAACAATAGCTACTGAGCAACAGGGGGGAGGAGGAGCGCGTTTTCTGTGTTCTCCATAACAACAGGTACTCTTTTGGTGTCTCCTGTTACTGAGGTTTGTATAAGATCACATATAGCGGAAACTGAGTGAAGAGTTGTGGCTCGAAGGGGAAAGTGTATATAACAACAACAGGGCTTTTGCCGGGCTTTTTTTATTGGGGACTCTTTGGATCAGATCAGATCAGACTTTGAGTGGCGGGTTTTTTTATACTTCTGTAGTCTTTCCGGCTAGACGGATGGACACTGGTAAAAATGTTATCCTTTGTACCAGAGTTCCGAGAAGAAAAGCAGTTCTTTCTCTATTTTCTCCGCGAGAGACAACGTCGTTCTGTTTATTACCAAGAGCCAACCAGTATACACAGTTGAGCAGAGGCTCCGAAATTACAACAACAAAAAAAGAGGGGGACTAAGACTTGGGACGAAGGAACACAGTGCTGGAAGATCTTTGATCCATCAACACCGGGAGGCTCGATACTTTTTCTTCTACTAGTACTCGACAACTGGGAGAGAGGTACTTGGTATTTTTGGATTGGAGAGAGCTGCTGCTGCTACTAAGCCCAATCCCACCAGGAAGCCCAGTTGCCTTGCTCCTCCTCGGCAGCCGTTCCAAACAAGCAGTTGTACGAAGCGTCATCCTCGAGGCCCCGGAGAGCATCGTCGTCGTCGAGCTTGTACGGGAAAGCCACCGGTTCCTCCTTTACCGGAGGAGCTTGTTCTTCGTCCTCCGCTGGATGCTGCGGAGCTAGCGGTGATAATTTGTGAGCTCTGGCCGGTGGTGGCGGCGGCGCTGGCGGTACTGGATGCGGACTAAACGCGTCCAAGACATCAGAGTTATAGCCGTCGGAGGATGATAGCGGCGACTCCTTGAATTTGGAGGAGACAACCGTGGGAGAGTCTGGAGTGGTACACACCTGATCGTCGACATCCTCCACTACTCCGCTGCTCTTGTTATTCTTGGCCATGGTGGCGACGAGCAGCAGCGGCTTGGGTGGCTTGTCCGTGGTAGTAGTAGCAGCCGCCGCCGCCGATCCCGAGTCCTCGTCCATATCTTCCTCGTTGCGATCTTCATCATTGTCGTCATCATCTTCATCCGGCTTCTTCTCGTGATCGCCATCCACGAGCTTCTTGTCGCTCAGCTGCGATCACAGCACAGTTCCAAAGTTTTGAGACAACGAACAAAGGAAGAACATCGGTGGTGGTGCTGATGAATCATCAGGAAAACAGACAAGAAAGAACAGTGGTGGTGATGAATCATCAGGAAAACAAAGCATCGGTGGTGGTGGCGGTGGTGGTGGTGGTGGTGATGAAGATCATCGACTTACTTGAGCTTTGAGCCGCTTGTTCTCCTCCGCCAGGGACTCGTACGCCGCCTTGAGAACGTCGTAGTCCTTCTCCAGTTGCTTCGTCTTCCAGCGGGCTCGCCGGTTCTGGAACCACACCGCGACTTGCCGGGGCTGCAGCCCGAGCTCCTGCGCCAGCTGCATCTTCCGCACGGGCTCCAGCCGGTTCTCGGTCTCAAAGCTCAGCTCCAGGGACCGGACTTGCTCCACGCTCAGCCGCCGCTTCTTCTCCGGGAATCCTCCGCCACCGCTCGACCCCCCGCCGCCGGTGCTGCCATCGTCCGCGACCTCCCCGTCGCCGGTCTCATCCAGCGAATCCAACATTGTAGGGTAGAGGGGCCGCTTGGAAGTCAGTGGCGGTGCTGGTGGAGGCGGTGGCGGTGGTGGCGAGGCCGAGCTATGGTGGTGGTGGTGTTGCAGGCCTGCCACTGCTGGAAAAAAAAAGAACTTTTGGTTAAAGAGAGATAAGAACCATCGCCGGCATCGACAGCAAGAAGACCACCACCAACAAACATTTCGTGGCAATCAATTGCGATCGACGAGCAATCCGGAAGGGGCCGACGAACGAGATCTCCAGGGACAGCGTAAAAACGAAGAGATCTCTTTCAACAGGAGGGAGAGCAAGAGAGAGATTTCTAGCGATGGGAACTTTTACCTCCTCGAAGCCCGAGCATCGCCACCAAGCTGGAGCTTTCGCCATGCTGCTGCTCAATTGCTCCGCTTCTCAGCATCGCCGCTGCGGCGGTGGAGGAGTGATCGCTCCAAGCTGCCATTTTGATCCGGTGATGGGGGAGCGGGAGTTTAGCTTTCTGAGAGGAGACGGGGACGCGAGATTTTCAGGGAGACCGACACGAGGGCGACGACGATCTGTGGAGCCAGAAGCTAGAATCACCACCAACAACAAGAGCAAATTGTCAACCGAGGGAACGATCGAAGGACAGCGAAGAAAAAAAAAGAGAGATTTTTGGAACGAAACGATCGGGGATCAAAGGCCAGAGTTTCTCATTCCCTCCCAACTAGCGACCAGAAGTGGAAGAACAGTGAAGAGAGAAGACGAAGAACAAGGAGAGGAAGAACAAAGAGGAGATTTTCAGATGGCGGGTGTTAGCTGGGAGGGAAGTAGCGGGCGAACCAGCAGAGCAATCGACCAATGTCTTGGACGAGCGAGCAGCCATAGACTGACGAATCTAGCAGCAGTGAGCGGCCAAAGTCATCGTGTCGGGGCAGCAGCATCATATACGAAAAAGGAGGATTTTTGGCAGAGGAGGAGACAACGAGAGAGCGCACAAGAAATCGATGGCTACTTCATCGGACTCGAGAGAATCAAAGACGTGGGAAGAAGGGCAATTCAAGGGCGAGCTTTTAAGTTAGCTACCCGGCGGCATCGTCATCGTCGCTGCTCTTGCTCGTCTTCATTCAGGAAATCCGTGGAGGAAGGATTGACGCCCAAAAATTCTTTGTGTCTCTCTCTCTCGCTTTGAATCGCTCCAGAGAAAATCGCTCGCTAGGCTTTTGGCTCTTGAAGAAGAAAGAATTCCAAGAATGTGGATGGCCATAGCATCGTCCATGCACATACATGGCATGGATGGCATGGCTTTCCTAAAATAGTACTGGCGCGTTGGACGGTCTCGAACCCCGGTCTCGAACCCCGGATAGGTAGGGTGGTTTTGGTTTCTAGTGATTATTTAGGGCTAGGTTTAAGCAAGGCGCGCGCGACGAGAGGGAGGCGACGAGCGATGGAGCGGCGCTTTTCTCAGGTCAGAGAGCGTCAAAATCTCTGGGATTCATACAAAGAGAGCGAGCTACATTTTCCTGTTTGTAGTGTTCTTCCCTTTTTTTTTTCGTTATTTGGCGCTGGCGCCCTCCCGTTCGTCGTCGTCTGCTGATCCCACAGTTGAGTCTCCAGAGTTTGCGTACCTTTGCAAGAAAAGGGATGCGTGGCCGTGTTGGCCGTGGGGAAAATTGAAGTCTATTCGCCCCACGAAGGGATGAGAGAAAAAAAAAAACTATATTGGTTGTTTTTTTCGGTTTTTGGACTTTTGGAAATTCTTTTTTCTCTGGCTGCTGCTGCAGCAGCTGGTTCCTGGCTGCTACAGATTGATGACAGTCGATTTGGTTCGCTGCAATGTGGGTGAAAATTCAACCTGTTTGTATCTGTGAGGATTCGATCACAGTTTTTAGTGGAGTAGTAGCTAGTAGCAGCAGCAGAGCAGGAAAAACAAAGAGATGGATTGGATTTATTAGCTGGCGAGCTTGGATTTGGGAGGAATTCGACACAAGAGCAGAAAGAGTAGAAATGGAAAAGTCCACCACCACTTTGAGCATCTCGCAAGCCCGTAGCTACTTCACGAAACTCCACCACCATGACCACCACGACCACCAGCAAAGCGAAGCGCGCAGAAACCAACAAAAGAGGCCACCAGCAGATAGTTAGTGCACTCAGGACCACACTGTAAGTGGCCTCTTTTTCTCTTTTCTTTTCTTACTTTTGTTTTTCTTTCAGCTTGTCAGCGGGTCTCTCGACTTCCCTTTCTTCCTCCTAAGGTAGCAGCCGCGCCAGTGTCATCAAGCAGCGAGGGTGAGAGAGGGAAGCAGTGCAGCGATAGAGGCGAAATCGTGTGACCGCGACACTGCCTCTCCGTTTGGTGGCGCCCCCGAAAGTGAGAGTTTGTATGGCTGGTGCTGTGGCTAGCGCTGGCCGGTGGCTGGCTTTTGAAAGTTTTGAAGATCTGGAATCCTCGCTGCTGCTGCGACCACCACTGCTTCGTATCTCGGATCCTCGACACAGGAAAGTGGGATCTTACGACCGAGGGAAAGGCGAAAGCACCGGAAGTTGATGACGCCCGGGAAGGAGTTATGGCGGGATGGATACGTGGTTAAAACAAGTTAACCGGAAGAGTACAAAAGCCGAAACAGGGATTGAACAGGTCGGTCCCCAGTGAAAGCTGCCCGCGCGGCCTTTTGTCCGCTTGGACGTTTTGTCTTTGCTGTGGGGCCTTCCGAGCAATGGCTGCTGCCGCGCAGTTTTGTGGTGGTGGTCACTGGTAGACACTCAATCGCTTGCGGTTTGTAGCGAGGACGATGATGATCAACGCAAGGAGCCCATTTGACAAAACTAGCCAATCATTCCCGTGCACGCACACCTCTGGTAAGCTTTTTCTTTGTTTTCTTCTCCTTTTTTTTATAATTTTGTTCTTCCGTATTCTCATCTCAGTGTTTTGTTTTTTTTTTCCCTCTGTTTTACACTTTTCTTGTTTGTTTTTGTCATTGGCATGCACACTTCCACCGGTTCTTTAGGCAGTGTGATAGAATTGGCGCCTGCAAATCTTGGGATCCTCGAAAAGGATGTTAAGTATCCGTTTCCTTATTTTATGAGCTTAACGCAACGCAGCACTGCAAAACGCAAAACGCAAACGCAGGAAAGAGAGCTCGACTCGTGAGGTGCGCATTTCTTACAGTTTTTTCCTCGGTGTTTAAGGATTAAAGAAAATGAGATCTTGACCTTCAAACCTGCAGGAAGGACACCCCGGAGTTTGTGTAACTTCTTCTACACATAATCTATTTTCAAAGTGATATCACATCACGTGGATCTAATAAACAACACAATATCAGGAGTACTCGAGTGTGCCAAGACCAACCCGGGCAAGCTACAAAACAGGTAGTCCTTTCGTCTCCATTGTTTTACTTTTTTACATCCGTGCTCGTTCACTCCGTAGAAACCCAACAGAAACCAATTTTGGAGAACAGATTCGCAAGTTGCAGCTGCGCGACAAGGTGAATTCAATACGCGTGCATCGCTCCTTCCTTTGTCTGGCCAGCTTTCCTTTTGTATATATCGCAATTGTCTCTGTTTTGGAATTGCTTGCTTGAAGAACCGAGTCCTTCTGACACACATTAAACTTTGGCAAATGTTTTCTCTTTTTTCTAACAGTCGGGGTGGCCTTCAGGACCATCTGTGTGGCGTCCACGGGCGATCGATGTCTGACAACGAAAGAAAAAGAGAAAAGAAATGGAGAAGCAGACAACATTGAAAAGTTGGACCATTGAGAAAAATTCCCTATGGCGAATGCACGCAAGCTGTAAGTAAATATTCGCTTTCCTACTTTTCCCCTTTGTTTTTCTAACAGATGCCTCGCCTTTACTGCAGGTTCGGGGTGGTCTCCGTGAAAAAACGAAATCCGTATGATGCGAGAAGAGAACGATCGCCAGATTCAGTGCTCCCTCGCTTCCTTGGAAACTCTCGCTTTGCATCACAAACTACGATAAATTCTGTGGAAACTCGAAGTAACTCGAGAGGTAAGAAGCTTTGCGATTGAAAACCTAGACTCTGAACTTTCACTTCGCTTCGAGAAACCATACAAAAAAAGAAAGGAGGAAAAGCCAAGAACAAACTGCACGGCTTTGCGTGGGCCATTTTACATCTTACACCTTGTCAAAAAGCTGCAAAAGCAAATTCACAGTGGTGGGAGATATCTTTGCTTCTCCACACTCCTGGAGAATAAAAAGCGGAATTTTCCATCAAAATCCTATGTTTTCTCCCGTCAATGTACCTTTTGAGTGGAATCTGTGTGATGAAAAGAAAAGCTGCCTTCCACTCAACTCCGCCAGTACGTTTAACAAAACCTAAAAGGTTCTGCCCTAAGTCAATGCAATGTCAACGGTCAGCTGCTTTTGTGTGATGCCAGGTGGCACTTTCAAATCCACAAGCTTTTAGGGTTTATGCGCGACGCGAGCGAGCGAGCATGGCAGCGGCGGCAGCAGGCGCGGCAGTCTCCGCAGAGCCAGGTCCGCTATGCTCCCAATTCTCCTACATTTCTAGCACAGCGAGCGCCGCAAGGTCGGTGCTGCCGCTGCTCGCGCCAAGAATTTCGATCGCGCCCGTGCAGGAACTCGAATGCAGGCCTAGCTCCTGCCTCCGGTAAGCTGGAATTGGTAGCCGTGGTGAAATTCTCGCGAATTGATTCTTCCCATGTAGCGCGAGTAGATGTCGTGTCGTCCCTAGAGCCAAATCCAGTGTGGACAGTGACGAGCAGCTCACTGTTGAGGTTCTTGGAGATGAGGGACACACGTTTGATCCATCCAGCGTTTCTTTCTCCACTGGTAAGCTCTAGCTTCCAAACTCTTTCTTTTCTTCCTGTTTACATCTTTTTAATCTCGTTGTGTTTTGGAAATTCAAGAGCGCTGGGAGGAGCTTGATACGAATGTTCTCGAGATTATAGATTCCTCCTCCACGAATACTGCTGCTGGGATCACTGAGAACACCACAGTGATGAATTCTACGAGACCGCAACAACAGGAGCCTCCTACAAGAACATCCAACGTTAAAAACCAGTGGCGCCCGATTTTCCAAGGTGGTGTCGAGAACTTGACCACGCAGGTGAAAGAGGCAGTCGAGAAGACTAGATCACAAGGACACAACTGGGCGCGGAACAGCAAAGTGGCTCAAGTTCTTCACAGTGATAAGAAAGTTATCTCCAAATGGACGATGGAAACAGCTCTTCCTGTAATCTCGGAAGCGCTTTTCCTGACGAGTTCTGCGGGTTCATCGACGGGTCCTGCAGAGAAACCAGTGTGGCAGGCACCTTCGTATCGTGGTACTATACTTTTATTTTCACTGATGTCTCTTTTTGTGAGTTTTCTTTAGTATTTTCTGTACAGGGCTATCCGGTTGGGACATTGTCGCTGCTGATATCGCAACCATAAGACAGTATTTTGACAACGTAAAATTGCAGCTAGCTATCTGGAAGCTACCGCTGCAAGAAGCTTATGATCCTGAAGATCTCGCCGTCTATTTCAATGCAAGACCACATCTCTTGCTGTTCCGGGCTCTCGAGGTAATACCCTTATTTTTTACTGTAAAGCTCATTATTTCTGTTCAGGTTTCTGCAGCATTTAGCTATCTCTTCGTATGGTACATGTTCGAAAAGAGCATCACGCCGTTGACAAAAAGAGAGCCGTCTTCTGAAGAGGAGAAAAAAAAACTGATGATGAAAACGGCTGAAATGTTTAAGCAAACTGTTTTGAGGCTTGGCCCGACTTTCACAAAAGGTACTCTTCTGTTGATTATGCTAATACTTTCTACTAAATTTTCTTGTTAAACTAGTTGCTCAGTCGTTGTCAACAAGATCAGACTTGATAGGTCCGGAAACTGCACAGGTACATAAATGCACGCTGATAAGTTCGTCTGTTAGCTAATAAAATTCATAGAGCAGGTTTTGGGAGATCTACAAGATCGTCTGCCACCGTTTCCTAATGAAATGGCTTTGCTTCTAATGGAGCAAGAGCTTGGCCGCCCGATAAGCGAAGTGTTCTCCTATATATCGGAAGAACCCGTGGCAGCCGCTTCCCTTGGACAGGTCTGCTATTTCTGGTGGCATAATAGTTTTTCATTTCATGAAAATATCAGGTCTATAGAGGACGAACGAGGGACGGACAGGACGTGGCTGTGAAGGTTCAAAGGCCAAACATTTTTTATTCCGTCGCACGTGATGTTTATATCCTTCGCCTTGGGGTAAGCATATCGGTGCTGTTTTCTGGCTTGTAGCTGATTGTAGCACTCCTGCAGCTGGGGCTGGTACGTATGGTTGCGGGCATTAACAGTGATTTATCGGTTTTCGCTGACGAAGTTGGGAAGGGCCTGTACGGTGAATTGGACTACAGGCTTGAAGCACAGAACGCGTCTGCGTTTGCAGTGAGTGTGCAAATTTTCTTCTTCTCCTTTATACCTTGCTAATATTCATGCAATCCAGTTGGCGCTTACACCGAAGTTACCTTTCGTTGTGGTTCCAAGAGTCTTGCGTCACTTGACGACAAAGAAAGTGATGACAATGGAATGGATATCTGGTACTCGTCCAGTGGACCTTCGTAGAGTTGCGAAAGGACAGGACGCTGGGGCTACTCCAGAGCTTCGACTGGAAGCCACAGACCGTCTCTTGGAAATGGTAAAAGAAATGGATTGTAATGTCATGCACTGGTTTCTAAAGTCTTGTGCAGGTTAACAAGGGTGTGCAATCTTCTTTGACGCAGCTGCTTGATGTTGGTATATTGCATGCCGATCCACATCCTGGAAATATTATCTATACTCCGGACAACAGTATTGCGTACGAAATGTTTTAATATCTATTCACTGTGCATTCACTTTCAATTGCAGGTACCTCGATTTTGGACTGATTTGTCGAATGGAGAAAAAACATCAATACGCTATGATTGCGGCCACTGCCCATCTTGTGAACGGGGATTGGAGTTTTTTAGTCGATGATTTGGCTGAAATGGACGTGGTGAAGCCTGGGACTAACCGGTTCCGGCTGAGATTGGTAAATACCCAAGGTTTGTTTTGCATATTGTTATTCACATTTTCTTTTGTTGCAGGCTCTCGAAGATTCGTTAAATGGATTCGTTGTTAAGAATGGTTTACCAGATTTCAAGTTCAGTCAGGTCTGCATTTTTACGTAAATGGAATCTTTCATCTTATGCCTCGTCTTTCAGATTATAGCAAAATTGTTCGGTGTAGCTTTAAAGTTTCGGTTTCGTCTGCCAGCATACTATACTCTAATACTGCGCTCGATTGCTTCGCTAGAAGGTACGTTATCATCCATTACAGGAATGATAGACTAAAAAGTTCATCTCTGCAGGAATGGCACTGGCAGTCGACCCGAACTTTAAGGTTTTTACGAAAACATACCCGTTCGTGGTCAATCGTCTTCTTTCAGATAATTCGGCTCCTATGAGACGAATCTTGCGAACGGTAATTTTCTTTGGAAAACTCTTGAGTCTGACGGTGAAAATCTCGCTTGTGCACAGCTGCTTCTTACAAATAAAAAGGAGTTCCGTTGGAATCGTGTTGCATCTTTGACAAGCATTACTTCCACTGAGTAAGCAAAAGAATCCAACTCTTAGTTCACTTTTTTATCCTTTCTAGGCCGGCCGCATCGAATGCCACGACGAGTCTGGAGTCCACACTGTGCAAGCTTCTTCTGTCAAGCAACGGCGCCTCACTACGTCGGATCATCTTGGAAGCGGTTCGTAGTTTCACTTCTTTTCTCTCCAAGAATTAAACCTTCTGGGTTTTACAGGACACGAAATCACTGGCCCGCGCATTCGTCTCCAAGGAGGCGGCACCGGTGAGACTAAAGGTGGCCAAGCTTCTCGCCGACGCGTTTTACCTGCACGGCAAGAAGCTCTTGCAAGAACACGCGAGCGTCGAGATCGACGAGCGATCCAAATTGTCGTCTCCCATTGCAAGCACCAGGCAGCTGCAGTTTCTTCTGAGAGCACTCGTGGCGAGGCTGCAAAAGACTCCTCTACTCCTGCTAAGAGCCGGATGGACAACGGCGACGGTCATGGGCTGGGCTCTAGCCGCGGCCTTCCATCGACTGGCGGTGGGCATGAGCTACACATACCTGGAACCAGCCCCGAGTACCCGCGCTGCAACAGCATAAGAAGAGGCTGAGCGGGCTTATTATTTGTACTAGTAAAATTGCCCAGCAAATGCTGGGCGGTTGTTTGCAAAGTCTTCCACCATAGGAATTATTTCAGAAGAGCGCATGCAAGACTTTACCAAAATGGATCCACGCTTGATCTTCCAGAAGTTTGGACTTGACGTTGGAAGTTCCTTTTTAATCAGTTTCCAAGCATATGTTGTCCCCGATGGAGAAAATCTCACTTTTAGTCACTAAAAGAACATACACTTAAGGGTCCAGAGGAGTGAAGTTGTGATCGTCGACCCCGGGGGATGCACTCTAAAGAGCCGACAGAAACAAAACCCTCTACCGCCGTCCAGCGCCCGCCATGAGATCCATGCCTGCGCCTGTCTAAATCCACTTGATCGCTTGATCGCTTAGCATCCTTGATCTTGTCCCAAGAAAAATGGCCTAAAGTTTCAAGGGCGTGTGAAAAAGCCCTATAGATCCTGGGAAGTGAAAGGGTAGTGGCTGGGAAGATGATGTAGATCTGTTGCAAGGTGAGAATTTTCTGTGTTCTTCTCACTTAAAAGATGGAGGCCTTATGGCGCTCAAGGTATGTGTTGAATTTCTTTCTCTCTAATTTTCTTTTTTCTTTTCTTTCTCTTTTGTTGTGTACAGCCAAGGAGGGAAGGCCCTACGGCGCTCAAGGTGTTGTTTCTTTCCTTTGATTTTTCTCTAATTTTGCTTTTTGTTTTTGTTTTTCAGCCGAATCGGGAAAACCTGGGGAAGCTTGCCATTGGACCTTCAGATGCATATACTATCTTTGTTACCAGTGGAAGACAGTGTGTGGTCGCATTTGGTTTGCAAACAATGGGATTCTCTGCTAAATGATCCACATTTCAAAGCATTATGGGCCCGAAACAGCCGCTACAGAACACCTACTTTCGTATTGCTGCAGGAAGGAACTAACACAGAACTTTTAAAACAGCGAACTCGCTACTACAAATATCCTTCAGGGCCTTACAGGTTGCAAGATTTACCTCGGGGTTGGGACTCCTGGCTTACACCGGAAGGTTCAGAACTATTCTTGTCCGCAGGTGGCCTGGTCGTATGCATCATCGAGGAGAATTGCGAGACACGTTTCTTCGTTGGGAACCCGCTAACGCAACAATGGGTGACCGTACCTGCACTTAAAACTTCAGCACAGTGTCGCCGGTCGTTCATGCTGATCCCGTACATGAGTGAAGGTTTGATGTTCTTCAGGATTGCGATTGACCCATATTTGTTCGACTCCAAAGTGGGGATTTGGACACGTCCTCCCTATCAAACCATGTGGACGTCGTCCTCCAACACGTTGCACATACAAGGAGTGCAATACGGTCTTGGGATTTGTAAGCAGCACAGTGCAGTTGTGCTGCTGGAGATTGATGATCTGGGAGCTCTTAGCGAATCGAAGTGGCTGTGGGCCTGGGATGTGGATACAATTCCATCTTTGTCTTACAAGTACATGCTTGAAATTGGCGGTGAGATTGGGTTACTCGTTGCAACGATAGATTGGGAGGTCGTGGTTTTGGTGCTGGACAGGAAGAGTGGTAAAGAATGGAGCTGGAGGAAAGTCTCAACATTACCCAAACACTTCTACAGGCACTTGCACGACTGGGTGCCTTTGTTTGACAGCAGGACATGTTGTACACATGGCAATCTTACGTTCTTGTGCGTAGGGATGCAGGTTCTGGTATTTGATTCCCAACGCATGACATGGGAGCTGGTTGGGAAACGTTTGTTGCATACAATGGAGCTGCTTGTTTGGGTGCCCGACTTCACAGCTGTCCCAAATGCTAACACACCCAGCGAGAAGTTGAAGCAAAGTTGTGCCAGCAAATATCCGGGGGGCAGCTTTCATATTACACCTGGAACGTTCTCAGGTGAAGAGAAGAGTTCCCTGTATACATGTGTGGTTATTGATTTGTACTTGTCGAATTTTCTAGAGGTGGAGGCTCTTTCAAAGCGTGGGATGCCATGGCAACAGATTGGAGAGGTCGCGGTTGATCGGAACAAAGGTAACCGTACCATTTTATTGTGTGTGATTTCCTTGTTGACAAAGTGTTTGGGCAGCGGTATTTACGCTACATTTGATTGCTTAATTGGGGTTCTTTAAATTATTATTTGAGAAAACCGGCAGATCTTTGTACGCAACCATCATGGGTTAATATGTTATGCTGGTTCTCCACGGGCTTGTTCCCACTGCTGCCCAGCCCATAACTGTTGCCGTTATGCATATTGCAAGGTGTCCAGCACATAGTCCTTCAAAACAAACTGTTTGACATATTTTGGGTTTGCAGCACTTTTCTTCTTAGCCTCTATTGTGACAGCGGCTTTTAAGACTTGAAAAGAATCTGTCAAATTCTTTGCTCTATTGGATGTTGATGGTGGCCTACATGCACTGATGCTTTACCCATGTGCCCATTCTGTGAGAAGTAGTACATCCTTATTTCACAAGTTGCTCGATAGATTGAAGTCTCTCTTAAACCCTATAGCAACCTCATCATGCCTTAAAAGATTAATGGTAGACCTTTGAAGAAGCAACTATAGAAATGGATTTTTCTGTAATGCATTCAAGATGACCACCACAATGAACAATAGACAATGAACCTTCAAAATGGGTGAAATAGGTTGTCTTTACCTTCCACAAGTTATGTGGATCTAAATGAGTTTCCATGCCCTTTTATCTTGCTTAAGGATCTTGTTGGTGAAATTCAAAGAAAACATTCTCAAGTGGAAGTTCCTTACATTTCTTATACTCAAACTCCTTGAGATCTAGATATAGTGAATGAGATTGCTGAAATGTAGCCTCCACTATTACAAAGACAGGTCTATTAGGATCACAGCTCCTGGTTTGGGAAGCTAAATCAAGAAGTTCATTTTCATCATTGGAGACAACAATGATTTGTTCTTTCATTTCCTAATTTACAATCAGCTAAGAAGCTGAAGCACCCTAATCAAAGTGCTTTAGAGATCCTATGACAAGAATTTCATAATTAGTGCATTTATTAAGATCCCCTTGAATCCCATGCTCTCCTACATCACTATCAAGGAAGATGGATTTTTCTACTATATTACCCATATCATGACATACATTCTCAAGACAAATAGAACTTAGCTTCAATTTGAATCTTCTACAAAGGAAGCTTTCTATGTGGTGTGTGCTGGGACTAATGGCATGGTACAGCAAGAGTTCAATTCAGCATTGTGGGTTGGTGTATGGCAAGTATTCTTGGAGAAGTGGTTATACATTGGCTTTCACAAGCCATCCTTTGAAAGAAAGCTCAACCCACGCAATAGAGACTGTCGTGACTGGTTGAGTGAGGAGTGGTTCCAAGTGCATTCCTAGCCATTACTACAATTGTTCCACCATCTCATTTGGAGTTCTTGAAACCCTCTAGGAAAAGATAATTAGTGGCTCCTAGTTAAACTTCAAGTAGAACTCTCTCATTCATTAGGTTGCTTGAACACTTGTGAGTGGCAATAAATGGGGAGATGGAAAAGCAGTAGATAAGGAGACTGAGAAGAAGCTTAAGGTATGTTTTGATTGAAGAGTGTTTTTCTAGTGTCTTGAAGAGTGTCTAGCATCTTAATTAAGGAGCATCTTAAAGCTCATTGCAAGATTTAAGCACCTTTCTCTTGCCCTTCTTTGCCAAAGCCCTAGTTGTAAAACCCTAAAAATCAAAGACAATTTAGATATATTATCAATAGATTTTAAGTTCCTTTTTCACTCAATCAAGGAAGAATATCCTTGTTTTTCATTGTCAATTTCTTCTTAAAATTTTTCTAGCTCATGGCTTGTGGCTTGTGCTTGCAACTACTTTGCATTGGTATGATCAGTTTGGTGGCAAACTAATCTTCCTAGCACATTAATTTTTTCTTGTTGTTCCCTTGGTGTTGGAAGATTGGTTTGGCAGCAAATTGATCTTTCTAGTGCCAAGGGAACTACTCCTCTTTTTTTTCTAGCACATTAATTTCTGATTTTTTTATATATATTTTTCTCTTAGTTTTCTCTTGTGTTATGACTAGATCAGTTTATAGGTAAATTGATTTTTTCAACTACCTACTTTTAGCTTCTTTATTGTTTTTTTTCTTTCTCTTTTTTACTCAAAAGTTTTGACCTATAGTATACCACAACAGAAGAAGTGTGCTAGTCAGCCTCAATAGACCTAGTCTCCAGGAAAACGACTAAATCATTGTACTAGATTCCTTAGGGAGATGTAGTGCACTTGAATTTGGAGCCGAATTCCAAGCCCATTGTGCTACAAAACAAGGATCCGGTTCAATCCCACGAGCACCAGCTCCCCATATTCAGCACTTGCACGCAAAATGGTGTCAAATGGTGTCTAGCACAATTTTGGCATATTGGTAGCCTAACGCGAGGAGGAGGGTACCCCACCAACTAGAGCAGTGTGGAGCTTGGGCTTAGACCTAAGCCAAATGCAAAACAAGGAATGACACAACCCAACGGGAGCCAAACTAATGCCTTAGGTGGTTGGATATGCATTCTAACCACTATCCCTGCTATAAATTTGGAACCCCCTATAGTGCCTCGCCCCCCGTCCCCCGTCCCCCGTCTGATAACTTAGTGAACTATCCTAAAGCTAACTCCAACTCCCTTAAGAGATTGGATGGTCAATGTTCCCAATCCAAGTGTAAGTGGCACTACATACTTGGATACTTTGTGTAACTCATTAGAATCTCGCTCTAGCCACATGGTTAGGGCACCTTAATGGTAAAAGGTGGGGGGAGTACCCACAAGGCTTGTATTAGGTTGCAGTGTTTTGAAATTTCGTCCCAAAATCCTAGACTATAGAAAGAGTGGTCCTTTTGTTTGTTGACCTAGACTAAATATATTTCTTTAGCTTTTGAATGGAATTACTTGAACCAATCATTTGAACATTAACTTTTATATTTGGTTAACTATATTGACTTCTGTTGACTTCCCAGCCTCGAGATATCCATCATGAGGCTGATAACACATGAACCTTTAGTTGAGAGAATCATATAAAATTTCCATCCAAATTTCAATTGGGGCAAACCAAAATTCATAGAACCTTATTCGTGTTAGAATTTAAGTTTTGAAAATTCAAATCAAAATATTAAATTTTTGCTAGAAATAGTTTTTAGACTTTTATGATTAAGGTACCCATAGCATCTCAGGCACCCCAAGCATGGGCACCCAAAAGCCCCCCACTCTCCTACACCATACACTTGTTCACTTGAGCATCTCACTAGATCACCTTGCTATCTCCTCAATCCTACTAGTCTTTGGTTGAAGAAACTATATTGTGGCTATGGTTGAGTTTTGCATTATGACTCCTACATCTTAAGGCTGCATTATGTCTGCTAATTCTTGCATGCTGTAAACTAGAAACTGAAGCAAGCATAAAAATAGGGAAAAAAAATCTTATCTAGAAGTTCGTAAGAATGTTCTAATCCTCACTTGATTTTATAGCAGGCATAATCCTCATCTCTGGTCTGCTAATGACTAAGACCATCAAAGGCAATTTAGAAGCACAAGAATATATCAAATTAAATTAAGTTCAATAGAAAAAGCTACACACATGGGGTGGCCACTCTTTTTTAGGGTTTAAAAAGGTGTATGTCCGCTATAAGGTTTTTATTTCCAAATTAGATTTATGGTGTTAGGCACTAGCTTTGACCATGTGGTCAACATCAGTCAAAGGGAAGCTCAAGGGTATATTAAGGCATGTTAGGGTAAGGAACAAAACCTACCCTAGGGCTCACAGTAGCTTAGAGGTGGTTGGGTGGTGAGGAACCTCAAAAGGAGGCATAGCATAGTCTAGAGAGATTAGATTTTTATCTTTTCACGCCAGATCATATTAGAGGAGTTGGTTGCAATGGTTGATCAAATTGAATGTTAAAATCCTATTGTGCCAATGATGGTGTTGATGGAGCTGCAGAGGTTTGGACTATTCAAGATGTTATTCATGAGCTGTGAGCCTTTAATCGAAATCAACAAGGCATGTAAGATGAAATGTATAGCATGCTGAATACCATATATGAGCGTGTTAAGGCACTCAAGGTTAGACTTGGTGGCACTCCAAGGAAGCCTTCTTTGGTAAATCGACTCAAGATTCTAACCTTTTCTGGTGATTGTGGTATAGATGAGTGTCTTGCATGGCTAGACAATGTGAAGAAGTTCTTGGCTGCTAAAGGAACTCCGAATGTAAAGGCTTTAGTGGCTAGTCCAATGGTTTTACATAATGTGGGTCTTCGGTGGTGGAATTGATTTGAGAAGTCTTGTATTATGGATAAAAAACCACTAATGTTTACCATAGATGAGTTTGAGGCTACTTTTTATTTATGTTTTGCCCTTCACTATGATATGAAGAATGCTCGCACATAACTTTGACATTTCTAGAAAGGAAAAATAACACTTAAGGACTATATTGAGAAGCTTACTCACTTGATTGATCATGTTTCAATGAAAGATCTAAATCAAAACAAATCTATCTTCATTGATAGCCTTTATAGTGAGAGCATGTTGTAGCACTTGCATCATTCTTAGCCTACAAAGAGGTTGGAGGAGCTCTTTGATATAGCTTATTGACTTGACAATGACAAGCACAAGTCTCGCAAATGTTTGAGGAATCCTTTTATTAAGAATCATTGTGATCATTGCCATAGACACAAAGATTGAGAATAAGCATCACAAGTTGAAGTCTATAGTGGCTACTTCGGATACAAATGGGTTAAAGAAGCAAAAGTTTTTTATGAAGAATTATAGACAAGGTTGTTATTGTTGTGGCCAGCTTGGACACTACAAAACTAATTGTCCACAGTTGAAAAACAGGCAGCAGGGCAAAAAGAATGGTCAATCTTCTACTGATGATAAGTTAAATACTAAAAAGTTGCAAACTTTGTAGCATGAGGATGACAGGGACGACTATTCTAGTCAATGGAAGAGGCTTTCAATCATTGCTCATCAACTCAATTGTATGTGAAATAAGATAGAGCTTGAGGACACTCATGCATCAGCTTTAATGTTGGAGGGCATGTTTTGTGGTAGTTTAGTGTGGATTTTACTAGATAGTGGGAGCAATGACAACTTTGTATTAGTAAAGTTTGTTGAAGAGCATGCGCTGATAACACGAGGAGTTCTTCTACACACAGAAGGTGC